AATAGTGCAAATGTTTGCTCTCAAGCACTGAATAAGTTAACAATTGACTTGTCGTTTTGCTGCACTGAACTTTTCATCGTCCACTTCGTTGCGCTATGCTAAACTTTTTTCTGTGCTAAAATAGCATCTTTTTTTTCAGTACGACGCTGAAGACATTCGATGGCCCAACTAAAGCTGTGCAACTTTACTCTTGGAGTTTAAGATCCCAAACTCAAGGTTTTCACTCCAACAGATGTTCTGCATTTTGCTCTGTCGCAACTTCCAAATCTCAACACTTGTCCCAGTGATGGCTGAATGAATGCCCTCCCATTTCTATGTGCTTTCGTTAGCATGGAAACTGATGCTTCATATGAGAACGCACTACAATAACGGTATTTTTTGTGAATGGATCGCTTACTTCACATGATCGATCGACCATCAGCCACATACATTTTTACTTGGATATACGTCAAAACTTCTTATTTCATCGGAAACCATCAGAGTGCTTCGTTCATTTATCAACAGAAATATTTGTGAGTGCAAAAGTTCAAATACTGCAGTGCAAACAAGTATTGCAGCATGAAGAAATTCCACAGTGCAAAGCGATTTGAATGTCTTCAAAAATTTGGATGAACATTTATTGCATTACATCAACAAGACGCGTTAACGGATGTTAAACCATAAAAAATATAGGAATATATAGAAAAGTTAAGAATCATCAACAATCACAGCAAAAAATTATGCGACGAATGGTGATTTTGGGTTGTTTGACTTGAGAAAATTAGTGAAATTAATGATAATTGTGACAGTCATCAAAGATTGATTCCTTACTGTAATTGATCGATAGATCATCCTTCAAAAATAATCTTCTTACGAATCGCGAACAATCACGAATACGAATCATATTAGATCAAAATAAACTTATTAATGAGTAAACTTTCACGATTGGAGCTATTAATCAATTCCAGTGAGACACTTTTGATTAAACTCCTGATAATTCCTGAACTACAGATTTAGATCGCTCAATGGACAACCAGGGGATAATTATTATGAAAGGAACAGTTTGAACCATAATTTTGAAATGCAACAGCTCCCATAGGCACAGCGAGTTCCATAATGATGTTGCACTTTAGTTCAGAGGTAGACATCGAAAACAAAGCAAAAACTTGAGAAGAATGGCAACAATCGATAACCGATTGGGATGAAGATATTTATCGAAGTGATTAAGAGAATTGGCATAAATATTGACCGAACCGTACTGACGACAAACAATTCGTCAACGCCGAAATGACAGTATAATGACGAAACTGACATCAAATTAATGAGTGCTCATAGCCTAACTAAACAAACTCATCGATTCACAGCAAATGTTACGAACGACAATAAACAACTTTCGGTACTTATCTCAACAAAAAATTAAGCAACTGTCAAGAGAATATTCTACTCGAGAAATTGNACAGATGTTAATGGTTGGTCCTTCTTTTGATGAAATGTGATGATTGTGAGATGAGTTATGGCGATTCGCAAAATTCATCTCAAAAACGCACTAAATAACATTCAAACGAATAAGGATATGGATTTTTTTTGGATAGATGTGAAAACGACTGGGATGTGGCACCTTATTAAATTGATGAAAGGGTTGTTCACTATGGGACATGAAAGTCGCTCTGAACGTCGTCGAAATTTTTCACGAGTCTCAAGCACATTTCATTCGTAATTTATTCGTTAACGACACTGTTGAAACGCAGCTTTCGGGGCGCGGCTATAGGCGATATCATTTCCGATGTGTTTTCGGCTTTAGAGCAGCTTATTATCAAAGAATTGATCTTTGGAGAGCGCAAGCATCTGCATGCATCATTCATCATGCTAGACAGCTCTGAATACAAACAACAAATAAATGAAATCGAGAGTCGTTCGCTTGAGTCGATGAACATTGTGAATCGCCTTCACCACTTTCCTATTCAATTGTCCACTAACAATTGCCGTTTTCGAGACTGAAATTTTTGAACGTTACAAAAGATATGAATGAATTTCATAATGCATAACAGCGACTATCTTGAAAATTAATTGAAATTAAAAAATTAGGGATCATTCCCTGGAAAATTGCAAACATTCTTGTCTTATATTGAAAGTGAATTCTTGAACATGCGCAACTTCACTGACCAAATATCGACAGCGATTACAAGCGAAATCGTTCCACTCAACAGATTGTCTAACTAGATCATGAAATTTTCCGAATGCGTTCAAGTGAATGAAAGCTCTCTGATGAACTGACCTTGTTTGGCCTATGACGCATTCGATGCACTCCACAACGCAGATCGAATGTTGAACCGAACTGAATAAATAATTTCAAACGGAATTAACGAGAAAAACGTGAAATTGTAATCATGGCTGCTCAAGATTGCATAATTTCCACATGTCTAAAGAGGGAATCAGTTCAATCAATTCCAGCTTCTTTTCTCAAATCGATTAGGTTTCATCTCAAGGGATCGTTGTTGTTGTGTTGTGGCATTGAACTGAACGTATGTTCACTGCTAACAATAACTCCAAAAGTAACGCTTTCGAGAGAGATTTGAGTGGTATTAAATCCGCATGAGATTATGAGCTCGTGCGGATAAAGAATTTTACGCAGAAACAACTGTGTAATATCGAAATGATTATTCACGCAATCTGCTTCGCGATCAGTCGAATATTTCAGTGATACGCAACGGATATATAGAAAACCTTTTCGAAAACAGTTCGATCGTCGTCCTTTCTAATCCATACAAAATTGATCACCAGCGATAAAAAGAAGATGATCACGGCAAAACACGTCGATACGGCTAGTGGCCCAAGATAGTCGACGAACTCAAACTCTTGAAGTGGCATTGAGCTTGATGCTTTTATCTTATCAGAACTTGAAATCAGTTAAAACTGAAGCATTCTTACTGCTAATCAAATATTGTAAAATGCATTTATTCATAGACATTATGATATTGCAACGCCAATGATTGTATTTAGGATTTTTGGGCTTTAGGGAGTTGAGCAATTACAGCAGTCGATCACTAAGTGGATGGATACTATGGAAATGGGATCAATTCACACTGAACGAAATAACGAATTCCGCGAACCAGATCTGATCCAGTATTTCAGCGAACCCTCAAGCGGTAGAATTTCATATTTCCAGTTCACTTCAAAAATTCCATATTGCATATCATCTTTCCATCCAAATAATTCAACACAAAAATGAACGCCTCAAGAATCGCAACGATTCGATGAAGCATTCATAGTTAATCTAATCAATATGGCAAACGATCTGTTAAAAGAGGAAGCAAATACCGGTGAGATTTGATTCTAAATGAATGAAAGAATGAATGAATGTAATAATAATAATAATATTGGCAGCATTCAATCTATAAAGGTATCGTCTTCATCAATATATCATAAACCTGTTCTTTGATTAATTAATGGCATTCATTGACTCTCAACGACAACAGCATCCTAAATGTAAACAACCCAAACTTCTTATTAACAATACTGATTTGTTCACGACCGATTAAGTGCTTGAGATTGCTTTATTCCACTTGATTCGATGAAATAAAAAATTCAGGTAATCGAACAACACTCCAAATGCATCTTGCAAACTCATTCCCAATGCTTAGTTTTGTGCCCAAGGACTGCTTTCGATCAGCAAAGGGAAGCTGTCTGACTGATGATAATTAGTTGCAGAGATATAACCACATTTTTAGGATTTATTATATGCTTTATCACCATTGTTATACTGTGTACCTCTCATAATCAAATTTTTAGGGTTTATTATATGCCTTATCACCAGTACGTTATACTGTGTACATGTGCATTGTTTTGATCAAAGAATTCATTGAAAGTATATCAAATAGGAATAGCACTGTACTTTGATCAGCGATCAATGAATCGAGAGTGTATCAAATAGGAATTGAAGAGAGTCAGTATATCAAACAAATCTCGTCTGTGAAGTAAACAACATGAAAAAATAGATACAAGTAAAGTTACCTGGATTACCTGAATTGGCCAGGCCATCAAACGTAAGTAACGTTGCTGGCCACAATGCGTTTCCATTCGGTCCTTGATCTTGCTTTCCTTTGC